TTTGTGAAAATATATTTTTTCACTTTTATAAACGTGCCGATTTGGTTTGTCGGGCTTGAAACGCAATCACAAACTGAAATATCAATATCTTAAATTAGATTTAATCGTTTAATTTTTTGCAAATTTATTTGTATTATATCATGTTTTATATTAATGCTATTAAACAGTAAGATCCGCTTTGAATGAAAATAGAATTATTTCTTTTAATCAATTTATTCTCGTCGGTCTTTTTAAATTATAATTATAATATAATGCTCATCGTGCTTGAACATTCTATACATAATTATTTTAATGATCTAATAAAGTAATTTTCAAATCTGTACCAACTTAAATTTTTATAGATATGTTAGAAAAGTATTTTTCTTCTTTCTGTATATTATTTGAACAACTGTACGATTGTGTGTGTGTGGCATGACAGATGTTGCTTTACACACATGACGTTTATTCTTTATTATCTTCTTTTATTCATTGTATATAGATCTGATAATACGAGGTGATGCAAGACAATAATCATAGAGTTAATTGCAATGTGTTTGATTATTCTACGATAAGAAAAAAAGATGCTAATTCTGTTATTGACAACCGTCACGTTGTGACGAACCATAAAGATTCTCGAACGAACGTATAAAGCAGTTTCGGTTTCGTATATCGCTTAACACTACGGTGTTATGGTTGGATTACGTCGCGCATTAATTTTCTTGTCGAGTCAGTCGAGCGTATCGGGATGTTCTAGGATGTCGCTACCCGTATCATTAAAGTCGCGAATAAATTGCTCGCTGTATACGGATCACACGATGGTTTACCGAGTATCGCTGAACACCGTTCTTCAACCACCCTTTAAACTCGCAATAATGGTCATCCTGGTATTAATCGTGCTTAGGATCGAAGTAGTTCCTATGCTCGGCACATCACGTGGCTGAGAGGCAAACTTAGAACGGAAGCGATCGATATACCCGCCGTTATTTTGCATATAAACCGTGCGAGAAGGTTTCAAGCTAACTAGATATTCCGTAATATTTCAATAATCTTAGAATCTGGTCTTATTTGAATATTTTGCTTAATAAATATATAATCGATAGAATATCATTACTTCTTGCAAAATCGCTGCCACAATTTTGTAATATTATTTCATCATAAAATAAAGAAGGAAATGTTTAAATACATGATTTAGTTTATTGTGCGTGATTTAAAATTTAAAGAAATATTCTATATTGTACTCAACACGTTTTTTTCTATCCATCAAATTTTTATGTTAATTTAGCATAAGAATAGGTTACAAGTAAAAAACATTTTGTATTTGTGTTGAAATCGAGCCCCTTGTTGAAATTTATATATTGAATTTTTAACATAACGTGATTATGTTATTTGAATATACTTTGCATTAAATCGAGGTTTGATATTTCTTAGTGTTAAAATAACACATAATTTATGAATAACGGAACAAATAGAAATGATGTAGTTTTAAAATATAAATTCTAATATAAATGAAAGAAAGAACGAATAGGTATATGTATTAATTTAACATATTAATTTTACTAGAGAAATATCCACAACGTTTCAGAATTGTGTGTCAAAGTGTTACATTTTTTAACATTAATTTTTACATTATGTTAACGTCGCGTTCTAACATATTTATCTTATGTTAAATTAACACAAAAATTTGAGTAAACTGTTTTGGGACGCATGAAATATGTGAAATTTAACACAAATTTTCCAGCTACGTTTTGTCGACGAGTTATTTTCCAGCAGCTTTGTCGTGCGCACATGAAAAATGGTCGCACATAAAAGGACAGAGAGAGCGGTAATTCTTTCACCGACATGGCGTTTCGAACAGCTGGATCGGCCCGTGACTCTAATGCGAGAAAAAGGGAAGAATTATCTTCCGAATCGAGGCCTACCAATGAGCAATAATTGTACGTTTATACGACCGTGCCGCGTTTGCATTCGTGTCGGCACGACAAGCCGGACCGCCGCGGAGAGCAGGGAAGCGAGGAACAAAATGACTATATCTTAATCATCTTTGGTTATTGCCTTTCTAGACCGTGTGCTCGACTTCACTCGTGGGAACCCATCTTGCGAGTGTGGAAGAGAAAACGCTGGGATCCTTTGCCGGAAATTCGCAGCACGCATATGCGCTTATCATCCGGCAATCGAAATGCAGAGCGTCATACAAAAAGATCCGCTTCGTCTTCAAGAACACACCTGACGCGTACTGGTGGAAAAGGCGGTAGAGCAATTTTCGTGTAGTTCGATTACTGTGTAACGAAAGTTTCTGGCGCCCGTCCAAGACGCTTCGATGTACGCGCCCTTTAATTGTACACGCGACTTGGGATGTGAGGAAATTACGTGAAAAATATGAACGCGCGTCAAATTTCGTGCTCGGGGTGACGAACCGTGACGGAAAGTGATGCGTACGTGTGAGAAATCGTGTCTACATGATCCGCACGTAAAAGCATTATCGACGCCCATACCCGCAGGGTGAAATTGTCATTGATCGAGTGCGGGATCGACTCAAAAGACACCCGGCGAGGCGTGCCAAGGATAAGCGGGCTGTTCCAGCTCGTTCGTTAAGTCTCTAAAACCGGATTTTTTTTATTTATGAAAAATAATTACAGAAGCTGTACACGAAAAGCATGGATTAAATCATTGGCTTAGTGAACCTCTTGGTATGTAACTTCCAAGTTCCATGGTGTTACAAACAATTAATTAATACAATGCTGACTACGTAATCTTTTTTGATAACTAAAAAGTATATACAGTATAAAATTAGAATTTTTAAAATAAATCAACATCTCTTCTCAATATAATTCAGTAACTTTTTTCTCTCGAAAGTAAACGATTCATTGAAATGCCATAGAATTTATTATAATAAAATTGTGCAAATATATCTGACTTTGTGTGTATCGATAAATAAAAATATGTAAGCGAGATACGAAACTCATCTATAATAGTGCAATCTACTGCAACGACAAAAACATAAGCTTTAATGATATCTATAGACTATTTACACAGATAGCATATAAAATACGGTTTACACAGTTTTTATATTGTACATAGAACATAGATATAAATTATTATATTTTATGTGTAAACGAACAATTCTGGTTATCATCCACACGCGGCATTATGCTGCATCCATTTTGATCTTTCTATCTGCAGCAATGGATGGCGCCACCAACTGTTTTAAATTGATAGAAGTAAAATCTAACAATAAGCATCTCTCATTTGCAAGCTATACATTATAACATGATAAAGACGATATTTTTTGCGATAACGTCATATTTTTCGTGTAATAGACGAATATATACTTGAAAGATTTCCAAGAAATCCGAACTAATTATCGATTAACAAATCCATAAGTTTGTAAAACTAAATCAAGTTTGTTAAATATTTTCAAAGATATAAGAAGGCAATATTTATAATAATTATGAAATTTTATAAATAAAATGTTTTTTTTCTTGTAACACAATTATATAATTGAACCAAAAGCTATTAAAAATTATTTTACGACATTCGTATGAAAAATAACATTTCAAAGAGACGTATTAATAGTATTATTACCATGTCGATCTTTTGTAAAGATTTGCACAAATTGACATATTAATACACATATCCTCGTTTAAATATATGACTCGTATACATCAAACGAGGGACGTGATGGAAATTCTAACGACTATGAAACGTGCTCCCATATACTCCGATAAAGTAATCTGTATGACGTTGGCGAGTAATCTCGGTTATAAGTCGGTTCGCTTTGCATTCCACGAAGAGCTTGAATTTTATTATAACGAAAGTTTTAACAGACACTTCGCTGCGCTAATGAGCCTGCAATGTCACGTTAACTAACAATGACAATATCTAATTAAAAAATTATCGATAATTAATTAAAAATATAAAAATATTTCCCGACAAGTATTTCGTTTATACAATATATACTTTGATATCACTCTGATTTTTTTTAAATTCTTTCGCTTATGTACTCTGTCTCTCTCTCGTAATATTTATAATATTGCAAACAGACACTTTTTCTGAAACAAAACAAACTTCACTCAAATAACAGACTGACATCATTTCAGGCTATCGTCAGTATGTCATCAAAAATGATGCTTAACGTTCTTTTGACGTCAAAATAATGACAAGTAATGTCAGCTTGCTGCTTGGAATATAATTACTTAGATAATAAAATTGTAAAAAAACAAAAGTTGTAAAAATTATCTATGGAAATTATGACGTAAAATAATACAGAAATACCAACCAGCTTTCCGTAATTACAGATTATAAATTTAATTATTTACATGAATTGACTGAAATAATATTTTAACTTTAAACGAAGAATCATAATAAAAGATTAATCTAGGAAGCGATTAATGTCCGTTTCTACCAATAAAGTTTAATTTTAATCTCGATGCAACTAACTCTTCATCTTTTCCTAATTCTTACAATTAGAACTTCGCACTATCACGGTTGTCTTAACATTCGTTCTGATGTGGTCATTAATTGTGTCCGGCTATTTTTACATACGTAAGTTATAATTTATTGATTCGCCGGACTTATTAAATTTACTGTACACGTATTTTATTATTTCTGTTTCTTGACGTTCGGTTAATTTAATATAGCGCTTGATTTTTTTGCCTGACTGCCAGTCATTTCACAATGGTTTCTCAGTCATTTCTCATTGCCATGTGACCACTTGCTACTGTTCTATGGTTTACATCGAACTTCAACACTTTCGTTCAATAATTCGAGTGATTTTGTGAACTGATATTCAAGCGATTGATACGTTGTTACTTTTGCGACGTATTAAATTAACGTAAGAAAAATTGTTATAATTGCGACGTTTAGATTATATCTCACTCTTACAATAATATTGTGTTCAGCATTAGAGATGATTTTATTACTATAAAAAGTGTCATGAAAGGTTATCGAAAACGCTCGCGACGAAATGGAATGCGTATATACTCGACTTCGTAACTTCTGAAATATAAAGGCAACGCATAGTTTTCATACCGTCACAGCTACGCACGACTTCCATTTAGTCCACACGATTTCTGACGGGACTTCACGACAAAATTACCGTGCAATTACGATACGCCGAACATTCGAGTTCAATACTGACTCTGAAATTTTTCTGAAAGCGAAAGACACGCGCTTCTCTCCTGGAATCGTCAGTGTCATCAGGTTATCGAGCTATGACCGATAATGTTTAAGCGGGGTTACACACCGTGCATGGCACAGTTGTTAGTCGCCGGGTATTAGTTGAGAAGGATGCGTACATTTTACACGATTCTTATACTCGTGATCCTCTTTGTGAGCCTCGGCGAATGTTGGTCCTTCTCGAACATCGCGATGTCCATCGACAAATTGATACGGCCGCAAAACACCTCGCAAGTTTTAAATATTAACGGCAATGGCAGCGCTACATCAACGGCATCCCCGGAAGTCACGGTACAAGGAAGAATAATATTCGTACCACGAAGGAATAAAGTCTACTGTCAACCGGGTCAGCAAGCCGATCGGCGTGGCAAATGTAGACAAGTGTGGTGATGCTTGTTTTGATAAATACGCAAGGTACATTCTTTTTAAATGCTAAATGGAAAGAAAGATTTTGCAGTCGAAGTATCTAAAAATATAGCTTGATACGGATCTGAAAATAATATTATCGGACTATTAAAACGATTATAAGTCTGCAATAGATTTTTAAGCCTTATGCCATAAAAATGGACGATAGTCAATTATTCTCATCGCATTCGACTGTAATTGGTCAATTTCTTACGGCTTAAAACACCTATTGTAAATTCGAACTAATGAGTGATGCTATAAAAGTTTTTTCTATAAGTAATCAATTTAAGCGCCTTATATGATTATTTTGATAGGCTTACAAAATCATTTTCATCTATATAGTTAACTTTTTAGATGCCTTAGCAAAACCGTTCTTTCTTTGTATGCTATGCCACTTAGTATTCTTGTACGAAACAATATCTAATCTTTTATATGATATGAATTCTAATTACTTCCTACGGAATCTGATTATTTATTTTTTCGCTATCCGTTAAAATACAGGCGCTTGACGCAAAATATTAGGCACTTTATTAATGATTATTTAATTTTGTTCTCCCTGTTTACAATACATTTCTTTTTAATTAATTAGTTCTCGAGAAAAATAAGTTTAAATAAAAAAATAATGTATATTATCACGCTGTGAACAATCGTGTTCAGCAATAAAAATGATTCATCACTATCATCGAAAGTTCCACCGAGGGTTATCAAGAATGCTCATAGATGCAGCAAAACAAACTTTTGCGCTTAACACATATCTTTTAAATCAATAATTTGAATCTAATGCATCAATTTGTACATCTTTCTTATTATACATACAGATACACCGTGTACTATTTTTTAGACTAATTTTTTAGAATCAACAAACGGATCATTAACCTCGCTACACCTCGTACTTTTGGCAGATCGATTTTATATCGGTGACTCGTCCAAGCAAAGTTCAAGATTTCATCATGCAATTCTCGATATCGCAATCTCGAATCGATGAAAAATTCCGGACACGCCGGGCTGATAAAGCCCGCGACTGTCGTCTTCTGGTCGCAGATAAAGATGTCTTTTAAGCCGGTTTGCGTACAAGGTCGATTTTAATTAACCCGCTCGTCCGTTTCCTAGTAGTTTGTTTGTGTTCATTTCGAGAAGGCAGGGAAACGAGGGCGGTGGTGGCAGGCAGAGAGTAGAGATCAATCGTCGCTAGTTTCTCAATCGCGTTCACTCCTCAGCGGATCATTTTCTTGTGGAAAATGCAAGATACGAGTCAGCCGTGTCGAGACGTGTCGAATCTAACAATAAGCCTCGTATCTCTCGCGTTTCCAACGCGATGAAGCATCATCCGCCCGATAAAATTTAAAACGAAACGTTTCGTATCGTGATTAACGAACTTTATCATTAGATAAACGGAGATAACCATTTTGGGCGACGTACTTTTTGAAGCACAAGCACTCGTGCGCAACGAAGTGTCGTCATTCGTATTGCGACTGTTGCAGTTTATTCGAGAATAATTGTCTACATCGGCAATTTTCTATCGATAATCGCCTGACGCCTCTTCGAGGTATGTAAAGATTACGCGTAATTACGTATTGCGTGCGATATCTTGAATATCTTGATATATACGCAAATCTTGATGTAATCACGCAAATATGCAATTAATTCCAACAGATTGAAAACGACGTGACGCGAGCGCAGAATAAGTTACTGAGAGGCGAGATCTGAACAGGCTTCAGTCGTTGATTGCACACTGTATACTACAGTCATACGCAACTATGAAGCTTTTATTCGCTGTAACGTTTGTGTTAGTGTTATTTTTCATCTTAATGTCAAGTACGCACGCGATCGACAAGAGCGCCTCGCGAGAAGAAAAGCGTTTTTTGCGTTTCGATAGTAACAAAATCGAAGCTGGATCAATAATTAATGTTCCTATACAATGTCCACCGGACAAGGTCAAAGTTGGAAATCGCTGTCGAAACATCTTTTAGGTAAGGGACTTTTTAAGGAGCGGAAACTCTCTTCATTACAAGTAAAGCATCAATTACTGCGTCGCACATGTTTGCAACGACGCAAGCAATATATTATTTCTATCATTAATCCTACAATCTGAAGTGTCTACTCTCTATCGTGTAACTTTTCTATTCATTATGTTATTTATTATTTAATTTTTATTACACGAAAGGAACAGTTTTGCTAATGTATTAAAAATTTAATACATTATAGCTATAGAGATAAAAGTAATTTTGTTGGATTATTAAAGTAAATTATGTAAAACGCTTAAATATTAATAAAAAAAAGTTTTAACATTCTAGCAATCCTGCATAATTATTTTGAAGGTCCAAACAAAATTATTTTCAAATCTATATCTAATTAAATTTCTAAATACTTCAACAAAACCATCTTTTCTTTGTAGATTTATAAACAGCACTGTATTGCTGATGTTTCACTTTTTGAAGTATTACCTCCAAAGTCTATTGCGCTTATGTTTATAAGTGTATCTTTTCGATAAAGATTTTTATTGCAAAATTAATTCAAATAAATCTTCAATAAAGACTTATTGTCAGCGCATATTATAACTATATATATAAATAAATAAGCAAGTAATAATATTTTTATAAATAATATTACACAGTATATATAATCAACGATGAATGCTATGTATATATAAAATTGTCTACATTAGATATAATTCATCATTCTTATTTTATACACGTCCGCCAATAATGCTTGATTCCTACAATGCTCTGACGTCAAACACGTTCACATTTATGGCTAGTTGATTATAGCATGACGTAAACTTATTCTGACGAAGTGTAACGCTTTAAGGTTGATTTTCTTTGTCGGAAGTTGGTACAACTCATCAACTATTCCAGCCTACTCGTCTATCAAATGCGCACACAATCGTCACCTCGTATCGATCCCTTTCATACTCACGTCAAACTTAAATATGCAATAAATTGCTCAGATCTTTATTTATAGCGGCCATTCTATTTCAGCATACACCGTATAGTTCTTACTTCCAACTATAGAGAGATATGTAAAACTTATATGTAAAACTCTGCATAAAACAAATCAAAATTAACAAGATTGTGATTTTTGTTGCAGATTATTTATAGACAATTGGACCACTCCTGTTTGTGAAAGAAAATATTCCCGGGAAAGAGAAGAATTAACAGGATTAAAATGGAAACAAGAATATTATTCTAATCATTGGGAATAAATATCTTACAGGCATCTCTGTAGGTTTATGAAAATTATAGAAAATGAGAGAGAGAGAGAGAGAGAGAGAGAGAGAGATGTATTTAATTAATTAATAATTTATGTAAGATCTATAGTTCATCGAATCGAATTGGCAATCGTAAATTTCATTCGAAATGCAATTAAGATGTACAGACTAAATTATTTTGTCAAGTATATCCCTATTTATCCCTACATAAAAAATAGGCTATCATTTTATATTAAGTATGATAATTAAATTCAAAGTGAGAATATAGAGTATTAAATTTTTTTATATACTTAAATTAAGGAATAAATAGAATATTTTTTATTATATTCACACACATAAAATCAAATTAGTTATATTTCTTTTTGAACACACACGCACACAAATATATAGAAGATTATTAATGAAATATATGTATATAAATGATGTAATTATTTACATAATTCCTTTTCCTTAAATAAAATATATATAAGAGAAATAATTAAAATATTCATGTATAGACAGATATATATGAATATGTAAAACTGTTATATACTATAAATATTACAACATGAGTAAAATGAATAAAGTACTTTAAACAGACTTGTATTATAGTTTTTTCCATCGCCTATATTTCCTGAGACATAAAAAAAGATTTATTGATAATGTGCGCGTAAAATCCAGAATGTGCATAGCGCACACAATCATTCACAATAATTTATTATCGCCGCGGAAGTTTCAAGTTAACGCTCTTGCGTAAGCCATCAGGATATGATTTTGACCGCTAATTAACTATGACGGAGACGGAAAACCACATTGATGAGCCTAAGTTGTATATAAATATGTGCTGTCGTTGTAGCAGCCAGTTATTAGCATATTGATGTTGCAAGCGTGTAAGGAAAAGGAGAGAAACTTGACGCCAATCTGTCTGATTTCGTCTTCCTAATTTGAAATTCAAGAAAGTGATCAGGAGATCCAATATCGTCCACAATAATGGCACCCGCCCGTTTAATTCTACTGATTCTCGCGACGATAATGTTAGTATTTGCGTGCGAGGGACGTCCACTGACTTTCCCCACAAGAAACCGGGTACAGCCGAAATGTCCGCCGGGTTATAGGCCTGTCCATAACGGAGGATGCAGAAAGATTTTAGTAACTTCCTTGCATGAGGTAAATACATCCTATAACACATTTCTTGGAAAAACACATTTTCATTCTTTTCTTATTTTTTGTTTTAAAGAATATATATTATACTTTGAATATAATATAATAATATAAAAATATTAAAAATGTTTGAGAAAAAAATATTTTGTAATTGTTGCATAAATCGAAGTAAATTGATTGTAATGTCCAAATATGTATTTTTCTTGATTATAGAATGAAGCAAACAATATCGTAGGATATTCTTTCCTGAAGATGTCAAAGTAGCAACGAAATATAATACTTTCATCTCTCGTATTATAATATGATCACATCTTTTGACTAGTCAGTAATGTGCATTGAAGAAGAGACCAGTTTAACAAAATTTGGCAATCATCGCCCATCCAGGAATCCAACAAACTTATGTAACTATGCACTACGTAAATGTTCTATCATTTGATTATTGTATCGTGTATGCCACTTGATAATTGTATTATGTACACTATTTAGATTTTGTTGAATAATAACGTCGAAAAAATAATTTCCAATCATTTCTTTCCACGAATTATTCTTTTTCCTCGTATTTAAATATATATCCATTAAAGAGATAAGTGAACAAGATATAATTAGCAATCAGAGAAATTCTATAATATATAATAGTATTAAATACAGCTTTGATAAAAAATGTTACACATAAACATTTTCTTTACTTATTTTTTCAAAGCAATGTTACCCATATTATACACACGTTTAAAGGGTTCTCTTAGATGACGTATTCATATATAAGATCCTTCCTAATTTTAATAATACTACAAATTATCAACTATTAAAATATTATCGACAAAATAATATTATCCATTTTAATAAAAGATTACATTGTTTAGAAAAGATAATACAATAAAAAATATCATATTATGATTTACAAAATGTCTGAAATGTTGAAAATAATAATATGTAATAATAATTTTGTTGCTCTACATATGTCTTTAATCGATAATAAAATAAATTTCTAATTTGTTACCTATAAATGATAATACATAATAAATAATAATATATGTACAGATATTTATTGTTCTCCATTATATTAATATAAATTGTAAATAACATTTTTTTAATTATAACAGTTTAATTAATATTTACACATTTTCCAAAGTGACCAAAATCTACTTCTATGCTTTGAATTATTAATTAAATTACATTATAAAATTTGCTTGAAATTTTTAAATAATTTCATATAATATAATATTATACTTATCATTTTTACATTTCTTTTATTTATAAAATTTTCTTTTAAGTTACCTTCCGTAGTTATCTCATGACATTGGTAAAATACCGATCATTGAAAATTCAGTGTTAAATAAATAAAACTTCTCAGACTCGATTGTTAGTAATATAGAAAAAGTTAGTAAATACATTTGACTCAAATTTTAACAAAATTTTACTAAAAAAACATTATAATTATAATAAATAATTTGTCTTCAATTCCATTAAAAGTAGAAAATTATACGTTTAACAGTTACAACTTTAAATTGATTATAAATAATATATAACTTTAATATTAATATGAGAGTTTTGGAAAATAAAAATAATTAGATTTTATTTTTTAAATAAAACTTTTGATATAGTTACGTATAACTTCCAATAACTTCC